TCAATTAACCTTAAAAAATATTAATCATAGCAATCATAAAAAAATGATAAGAAATTATAAAAAAATAGAAAAAAAAAAAAAAAAATCTTAAATAGACTCTAACTAAATCTTAAATAAACTCTAGTCAACGTTTAATGTAATTCTAGAAAAAATCTAATAAAATATTAATAAAATCCTAAATAATCCTAATGAAATCTTAAAAAAATCTTAAAGAACCTTTAATCAAATCTTAATTAAATTCTTATCAAAATTTTAATTGAATCATAATAGAATATAAAAAATTCTAATAAAATCCTAAATCAATCTTAATCAAATACTAATTAAATCCTAGTAAAATCTTAAATCCTAAATTAAATCTTAATCAAATTTTAAATTCAAATCAATTCCTAAATAAATCTTAAATAAATCCAAGAAAATTCTTTAGTAAATACTAATTAATTTCTATAGTTGTTTTAAAATCTCAATAATCATTAATCTAATTTTTGATTTCAATTAAAATTTTACTCGTGTTTCAATTTACAAGAAATCAACAAGTACACAAAATTTGAAAAAAATTTAAATTCAATAGTTAAAAGAAAAAAACTCCTAATTTTATTAGATATTTGCTCTTTCTTTTTTTAACCTAGATGTTGATCTTTTAGTAGTGATTTAACTTTACTAAACCATTCTATTATTTCAAAAATTTACTTGTGTATAGATTAATAAGTTTAAATTACTCCCACTAATTTTTGCTTTAATCAAATTGACAAATTTTGAAAAATGAAAAAATCCTCATTAATAATAAATTTCAAATATCCAAGATCTTAACTCAATAAAACTCTTATATCCTTTTATCTAATTATTTAATCAACATTAAAATTTTCAAACACATTTAAAACAAGCCTATTAACAAACTCACAAAATTTTCACTTGTAAATATACTATGATACTCAAAAAATCCTTAAAATTGTAAACCTCTTTTTATTTCTTAAAATCCAAACTCATTGAGTACATTTTTCACTTTGAGAAACTTTCAAAAATTCAATATGCTTCTAAATTACAAGAAACTAACTTTCAAAAAATCTTTCGTTATTCTACTTTCAAATCTCATTCTTTGATCAACTAAAGAGCTCATTTTTTAAGCAATTAGATAGGCAAAATATGTATTATAGATTATTTTAGAGTAATGTATGATAATATGCAGTATATAAAGAATATCCTAATAAATAGGTTATGATTAATAATAATTAGTAATATTCAAAAATGATAATATTTTTTAGTATTCATAGATTAATACTAAATTATTTTGATAATTTATAATTTATTTAAATGTATTTTATATTTTCAATGAAAAAATAAAGATTTATTAAAATAAAAAAATAAAACAACATAGATAGATGTGTACAATGTGCATGCAAATATATTTATATATTGATGCACATATGATTTAAATGCTAGGTTATTGCTAAAAATTAGAATATTCTATGCTACATCAAAATTTTACAAGATGTATGTATATATATATATATATATATAATTTATACTTGCAAATATATAATATCATAGACATTATCATACTAAGATAGATATGACTATTTTTATATTTTTAAAATACTCTAAATCCTATAATTTTAATGAATGATATAATGTAGTTTATTATCTATTAGAAAATAACTTGTGGGAAAATTTATTGATTTAGAAAAATAATAATTAAATCAATCAAAACATTATTAAATCTGATAATATATTTAAAGATTCAATGTTGAATATTGAATAATATAGTAATTTAGTAAACAAATACATTATAATAATTTTTAGAGGAAATATGAATGCCAATTATTTTTAAAGTAACATTGTATTTTAAATTCTTTAAAAAACTGATTAGGAAATCTTCTCAATAAAAAGATATTGTATGTTTTTAGAATATCTTTTCTAATTATTTGATAGTTATATAAATTATAAATTAAATTATATTTTTGAAAAGTAAAAAAGTTATATTTTAAGAAAATTAATTAATAAAATAAAAATAATAGAAATACAAAAAGAAGAAAATAAAGATATACAATTTTGAGAAAATTTTTCTTTTTATATTTTTTAAAAACTAGTGAGCAATATAAATCATTGTTGCTTTTGAGTTTGAGTCAATAAATAAATTTAATTATTTAAATACAAAAGACTGTTTTTTTGTGGTGAGATAATTTTATTAAAAATACTAAAAATATTTATTTACTATATAATTTGATAAAAAATAATTTATAAAATTCTTAGGAAAGTTTGTAAAATATTCTAATATGGTTATCAAATCATTTAGTATGTTTGGTAGTTTTAATTTTCTTATTTATAATATATTAAAAAATAATTCAACTTTTTCTATCATATATAAATTTGAATTTAAACTAAATAATAAGTTTTTAATAGATAGAATATAACATTACAATCTTGAACTAACTTTTTAAAAAGATACATAATCACTTTTGTCACATCAAAGGCAATTTAGATAAAAATGAAAAAAAAAATATCTATAAATATTTAATGTTTTTATTTACACACGTTAAAAAATTAAAATAAATAATTTTCTTGTGTAATATATTTTTTTAAATGAAAAAAGGAATATATATCCTAAAGATATAATATATATTAAATTATATTTTTTTAAATACATTGATAAACTTCAAAATACATAAAATCTAATATACTTGTATATGTTTATTTATTTTTTAAGATATAGTTTGAAAATCGGTACTTCAAAACTGTATAAAATGATTGAAATTTCTAAATATAGATATTTAAAATTTAATATAGAGTTTGAAAACCTTAAATTCTTTAATAATTTTACTTTAACTGAGTGTTTATTAGTAGACACCATCACTTTATGTGGTCATTTTGCATTTAAAGAATCAAAGCCACATCCAGTGTTATGAATATTATTTATAATATACTAAGAAGAAAATTTAAGTCACTTATTTATGCTACAACTTAATCTATTGGTAAATCAAGCTAATAGCTAAATATATAACATTGTATAATATAAGCATGTAAAGAATCATGTTAATAAATATATCAAAGAAGTTGATAAGACTTATAATATATAATATTAATAATTTTATAAATTACAATAAAAACTAAAATTTAACAAGTTTTAATGTTTTAGTTTTATAATACTTTCTTTGGGGTTATTATGATATTTTTTTAAAACTAAAATTATAAATTTGGGGTTATTATGAAAATTTCTTGGTAAATTTTGGTAATTAAAAATTAATTTTTATTAGTTTTTAAAAGATTAGAAAATAGAGACTCGGCTTCATGTTAAATCGTTTTAAAAATAATCATTTATTTTTAGTATTGATTTGTAATATTTGGTTATTTAATCTTGTTAGCACATGTGGTTGTTACATTATTTGTTGTTTTTATCAATGGTTTTTATTTACTAATACTTTACTATGTCTTTTTTAAGAATAAAGCAAAAAATTAAATACATTTTAATTAATATACATTTATAATATTGAAAAAAATTCAATATTTATTTGATTTTTTATTTTATGAAAAAATATTTGTCAAAAGTTAATCTGTTTATTTTTCATTGTCATAGGAATTCTTAGTGCATATAATAATCAATTAAATTTATATTATTTTGAAGGATTTATGATATAACAGAATTTTTAAATGCACGATATTTCTTCTGTGGGTGTATTTATAAATGGGTCATGTTAAACCAGATTATTTTATGTGTGTAACCAAAGATTTGGATATCAATAGTTGGTTTGATTTGTATAAATATTTATCATATATTTTTTTAAACGTAGCTTTTCATTTGTCAACTAAAACATTGTATCAAATTCTATTTGGTTTTAAATATTTTATTTACATCCTCAGTTCTCAGGTCTTTGCTACTACGACATCAAAATATTCAATCCATAAGTTACTAATTGATCGAACCTATCAAAAATATTATTAGTAATTATTAGATTTCATTTCTGTGAAAAATATTATAATTTTTTTTGGTAATTTTAAATTTGAAGAAAACTATGAATTGTTAATAATTACAAAGCAAACTTATAATAATGAAAATATTATTACTAGTCTAGATGAAAAGAGTTAATTTTTAGATTAGTAATATTTAAATTTGTTTTTGTAGAATATATGATAATGAGTATTTAGGATGGTGTTCCTCAGATTCTATAAATTTGATCATTGTATTAATAGCATGTATTAAAGTTAGTTTCATGGAGATCTTGTTTTAAAATTTTCTACAGTTTTTTTATAACAATTTATTTAATTTGAATTACTTCTGAAGCTAAATTTAATAACTACTATTTTATAATTATTCAAACTTGTTACATTGTTATTTATAGTTATTCGTATTTCTTGTATTAATTTGAACATATAGGTATTTTGATAGAGAATTTTTATATCAACTTCAATAATATGTTTATTTCATTTTATTATAAATGTTGGAATTATAAATCAAGTGATAAACCCTCTCTATCATAGATTCGATTCTAAGTGATTTTGAATTTGATATCTTGGTTGTATAAGAAGTTTAGTTTCTTGCTGAAGAGTTGTTTTAAGGTTATATATGTGAGACTTAGCAGTATGTAATGAAGAATTGGTTTCTGAAAACTAATCACAATATGAATACTGGTACAATGAAAAATATAATTACTTTTATTTTAAAAAAATTGGACCACAAGTGTGGTTTCAAAAAAATTAACTAAAAACAGGAGCATAAGTATAAATGCATAGTTCTAAACAAAATTTTATCTATGAAGTTTAGAGTTTGAATTTTATTTTCTATCTCTCTCTATATATATATATATATATATATGATTCTGGAGATGTACTCTAAACAGCCCAAAATAAGGATTGACTTATCTTTTATTATTTGTGTTAACACGATGCTAGGAATGGAATGGCAAACCCTACATTAAAGTGGGGGGGGGGGTTTAAGTTTGAATGAACATTCCTACTATTGGAACATTCCTTCTCTCTCTTCCAACCCCAGGCCGTCACCCCGCCCCATTTTCTCTCTCTTCTTTCTCTCTCTGGGCTGGCGTTGCTTGGCCTGGCAGAGCTCAACGTCGTCGTTGTCCTTGCTCTTCTTCTTCTTCTTTCATGATTCTGTTGCCTCTGCCCGCCATCGCTGCTGCACTGTTGTCTCTGACGTTGTCCGGGGCGCCGTGTTACGCCGGCCATACCAAAAGCGAAGGAAGGCGGAGAACGGAGGAGTGAGGGGGAGGGAAGAAGGGGGAGAGAGAGAGAGAGAGAGAGATAAGACGACGCAGGTAAAGGAGCACGGTGTTGTAGTTTGCAAGGGTAAGGAGGGAGGGAGAGAGAGAGGGAGAGAAAACATAGAAATAATTAATATTGATGTACTGGACTAGGCGATGAGCATTAGATTAGAGTGTATTTGCGGCATCGGAGGGGATTGGGAGCGGCTCCTGGGTTGGTAGGGTGCATCGGAGGCGCCAAGTGCAATGCGTTGCGCGGATGGAGAGGCAGGGAAGCGGGGCAGGCACATAGCGATGGTGTCAATTTCAAAAAAAAAGGGATAAAAGCAGGGAATAAAAAGCGAGAGACGTTGTTTTGTGGCCTATGATGCTGCTGTCTTGAGGGGGAAGGTGCAAGAGGGAGAGGTGTGAGAGTGAGGTGAGGCGGTGCGCAGGATGTGCTTATCGGGATCGATGAGAGCGTGGGGAGGCGAGTCGAGGAAAGGTATTGAGGTTCGATTAGGACCGGTGATTGCCGATTGAGAGGGAGTATGAACTCCTGTCAATGTGGTACGGCTTCTCGCCTGTTGTTATTGTGCCTCTGGATACTGGATAGATGTTATCGTTCTTGCTAGAGCGCCCAGTTTGATACGACAATATCGACGCCCAGTTTATATACGCCCAGTTTTATACGATAAAAAAATTTCGATGGGAAATGTATTTGCCGCGGCGTGCGGTCGATTTGGTAAATACACTTGGAGACGATCATATCAGTGTATGTTCGCCTCTGTCTTCTGCTACTGAGTAGGGCCAAACTTCTATGCGTAGATCTTTAGAAGTGGACTCCTTGCCTTCCCACATTTTGTTGAAAACTGTCATCTACGGCGTTTCTGTCGCCTCGTCTTACCTTAAACCTTCCCAAGCTCCTCGTGTTGGTTCAGCGCATCGGGCCTTCAAGTGCCATTCATTCATAGTAGCATTTGGTGCCTTCTCTTCTACGTCTTTGGCTTTGACGCATGAAGTATGCGCACGGCAGAATATTTGACTATGCGAGAGTTTCTGAACGTGGTAACTTACATCTCTAATGCCCGATCGCTTCGAAATTAGCAGAATCCGAAGAATATGGACATGCGATTGCTGTCTCAAGCGCTCTGACATTTAGTCAAACAATTAGGTCATCAAACTCCAGAAACATGCGTGACATTAGGGTTTTTTTATGCACTTGTGAGTACTAGAGCTGCCTGAGTGCTGAGTGCAAACCTAGGTGTGACACTGTGCTGTTTTTTGAATTTGAGCCACTTCAACGTCACTCGCTTCTATTGCAAGCTTGTCAACCCCAAGGATCGAGTGACTGAAGAGTGGTCTGAACTCTGAAGAAGTCAGATCTTGCGTTGCTGGTTCTTAAATTTGCTAATTTCTGCGAATTTTGTACTTGGTTGTGTCGATAACAAACACTGCACATAAGTGCCGTTTCAGCAGTGGAGCTCAGACACACGCAATAACGTCCTTAGAAATCTGATCTTGGATAAAGTGATTATTTGGACAAACCCGTAGGAGGCCCGATCATATTAGAGGTCGAAGCGTCAACAACATTCTCCACTTTTCTGTCGCAATGGTTCCTTGAGGAATTTAGGTGACAGAATTCAACTCGCCCGCAAGACGGTAGGAGTGCTTTGGTCATGGACCAGAGGTGCACCACTCAGGGTATTAGTCTCTGATCGGGGATGATGTTAAGACCTTTCAGTGCATAGATTCCTCCTACTAGTGTAATTGTGGTTCTTCTAGTCACCTACTTGGCTGAATTAGTTTCGCAACGTACTTCCTCGGGCAAAACAATGGGTGATTAACATTTTTTCCCCTTGGTTTTTCAGCAATTTAGGGAAGGAGAAGGTGTCGAGTGTTGAAGAGCAGCGCACGGAGAGGCATATGATCGAAGAAATTAAAAAATATTATCTAAATAACTCAATCTCAGACTGGCAACATGAAGCGAGCCTATAAATTACGTATCCTGGATGTCTCTACATGTTTTTATCTTATTATTATTATTATTTTTATTTTTTATCTTCATATGTGTTCGCTCCCATATACTTATTCGCAACATACCGGGTTTCTTGCGATTGAATATGTCTTGTTCGATTGTGGAGTAGTCTTAGTCTTTGATGTGAATGTAAATGTTACTGGTAATTCTCATCTATGTGTTAGTGAAAGCTTTAGGAGTTTGAAATGCCTTTATGAATTTTTTTTGAGTTCACACCCTTAAAGTTTATTTCGTTATGGCAGTTTACTTAATCTTATTAGTCTAAACACTCCAAATTGTTGAGTCATTTACGTGCTTATTGGTGAGGATATTGTATAATTCGGTTTAGTCCTTGACTACTACCCTTCAGAGGAGTTTGTTGCACACTCTTCCAATGTCAACTGCCTCAAGATTGGGAAGAAGTCCTCTAGGGTCTTGGTCACCGGCGGAGAGGATCACAAAGTCAACATGTGGGCTATTGGGAAGCCCAACGCTATATTGGTATGTTGGCCATGTGAACCCCAAGAAAGGAGAAATAACTCTTTACTTTCGCTGCATTTCTTTTCTCGTCGTCGTTAGCTCCGTATCGTGTCTCCTTTAGTTGCCTACCATACGTTCCAGGTCTACTACTTTCCTGCTGCATTACTTGAACTCTCCGAACCTTAACCATATAGATGCACTTTTGTGCTTATAGAAAGAACGCGTTTATTTAAGAACAGCCTCACGAGGACGAGGAGTCAAGTCAATAATTCATTAATTAATATGTCTCGAAACCGGGCTTGTAGAGTTTGGCAGGTCACACTAGTGCAGTGGAGTCGGTCGCTTTTGATGCATCTGAGGTCGTGGTTGTTGCTGGAGCTGCAAGCGGCACCATTAAGCTTTGGGACCTTGAAGAAGCCAAAAGTAAGCTTGCGAATGTCATCTCCTAGGATATCAGTTGCTTTTTATTAACTTGCGTTCCTATTGGATGGATTGTATAACATAACTCATTCTATCTTACTTTTGACGGAGATCCATTGCTCTTTTGATCTGATGAGGTGCTCGATTACTGACCCGTATAAGCGCGAGTGCAGTTGTACGCACTCTTACAGGTCACCGATCAAATTGCATATCTGTAGATTTCCATCCTTTCGGAGAGTTCTTTGCGTCGGGATCTTTGGATACAAATCTCAAGATATGGGATATTCGACGAAAAGGATGCATCCACACTTACAAAGGTCATACCCGTGGCATCAACTCCATAAAATTCAGTCCGGATGGGCGTTGGGTGGTCTCCGGCGGCGAGGACAACGTTGTAAAAGTGCGTACTCTTCAACTCGACATTACTTGAACTCTTTCTATTTACTTCGATCAAGTTGCAGTTTATATGAGTAAACAGCGTCTGATATAATCATTTGTTCTACATGAATTCTTACTTACAAATACTCAAATTCCTCTTAACTACACAGCTGCACAGATCTGTAGATATTGTGAGTCGATTAATGGTTCTGTGTATGTGACAGCTTTGGGATTTGACTGCTGGCAAGCTCATGCACGATTTTAAATACCATGAAGGCCAAGTTCAATGTCTAGACTTTCATCCACATGAGTTCCTTCTCGCCACAGGTATTTTTATCGTGTTGCTAAGTCAGACACCCCGTTCGACGTTACCTGGGTCTGCCTTGAAGACTACGCGTGAAATGTGGACGTAGGTGCATGTGTAATATGCCTGCGACGGATTGCTTGCAAGGGGTCCAGCTGTGCTAGATTCTTGTTATCTACTGGATTTGCTCACATATCCTGCATACTCTTTTCTTAAATTTTCTTGTTACTTTGATCGCGAACGCATGATATATGTTGGAATATTTTCCACTTTGTCGTCAAAATTGAATCCCGGTTCGCTGTTTGGTCTTTTCTAGTACAAGTAATAGTTTTTTGGTCCTGGTTTCATGATGTAGGTTCTGCGGACAGGACAGTCAAGTTTTTTGACCTCGAAACATTTGAGTTGATTGGATCTGCTGGACCTGATGTAAGTTGTTTCACTCAAATATCATTAGAATATGTGATATATCTTTGGTGTAATGCCCGAGTTTAAGTTGCCGTGTAGCATCTGGTGGAATGTCGTAATTAATCTCGTATATTACGAGTTATAATTGCTACTACCTGATATTTCATGACCAACCTAAAAATATCATTTTTGTAAGTCAAGTTGGTCCATGTTTATTATTTGGACATTAGTTGTGTTACATCAATTGGAATCCAGTGTAGATACTTGCATCGTTTTCTCGTGCCTTGTTTGTAAGAGTTGAGACACTGTGTGCTTTGTACAGTCTGCAGGAGTCCGAGCCATGGTTTTTAATCCAGATGGGCGAACTGTACTTACTGCCATGCAGGATAGCCTGAAGGTGATTTTTTAAATTTTGATTCACTGCATGCTTTACAAGAACGTGTACAGTGTTGGACAAGTTGATAATTGATTTTCTTGAACTAAGAGGTAGCTTTTCCTCGATTTCACACTAGAACTAAAATGTACAGGTTTAATTATCATGGGAGGCCTAAATGCGTTAACAATGAGGTATGATGCTATAATGTAATGCGATCTTGCTGTTAGTTCGGGAGCACCTGGAGATCTTGCGGAAGTTGCGGGGTTCTTCTTGTAGTGGCTGTTGTCAAAGTTCCCTGAACATATGAATTTGAGACTTCTTGCAGGTTTTCTCTTGGGAACCGCTGAGATGTCACGATATGGTGGATGTTGGTTGGCACAAGCTTGCGGATCTCTCTATACACGAAGGAAAATTGCTTGGATGTTCTTTCAACCAGAGCTGTGTTGGTGTGTGGGTGGTGGATCTTCAGGTAAATGGTTTTCTTTTGCTTCCTGTTATTTCTGTCACCAGCTGCTTAAGTCCTGTTTTTATTTCCAAATTTGTGAAGATCAATAACTAGCAAGTATTTTAAGTTGGTATCTTTTTACATTTGTAAACTGTAACGTCAGTAAGCACTTGTAAAAGGAAAATTTCGTTATATACCTATGATGCTTGCGTTATGCGGTGTTTCTCGTATAGGGACCGGGGAAGTACCTCCCTTCCTAATGTGTACAGGTGAACATGTTGCCTATTATCTTGCAACTTTGCTGTCTCCATTATTATACCTAGAGATTTCGGAACTTATCGATCCATGCAACTGCTTTGGTAATGTGTTTGCAGCGTGTGGCTCCATATCAAGTTGGAAATCCAGGTTGGAAGGATGGCACAAGTGTTGGGAACAAGATTGGCAACAATGTCAATCAAGCTTCACAAGAAGTGACTCCAACCTCACACTCGAAAACAGATAGCAGTACGAATCTTCCTCACATGATGGATATGGCCATGAGGAATGTTAAAATAACTCCTCCTAAAGGTAAGTCACTATAATTGGAAGTTGTTGACTCGCTTTAAGGCAAAGTTTTTAAATTTTCAAGCATCCTAGAGCACTAGAAAGCTATGTTCAGAAGTTCGTAGTTGGTTGAATTCTTTTTCACTGATTTTAGTACTGATGATAACATCGAGTAGGTCGCGTTGCAACCAATTGTTGAACAATCCATCTACCAATTGTTCAATTATACATCGATCAATTGGTCACATTGGTCAAATTTTTGAACACAACTTCTAACTAGGTCAGAGTTTTGTAATTTACATGTTATTTTCAAACTAATCAGCAATATCAGTTGATACACGTAGTCCGCTTGGTTGCACCTACTACGTGTATCAATAGATGTTGTCAGTGTGTTTGTCTTATGTTCCTGAATCAGGAGTATGATCAAGTGCTCCGAATTATTCAAAATGGTTCCTTTTATACGTCTTTTTCATTTTTACTCTTGTAATACATAACATTTAACCAGTTTTCTTCTTTGCAGACGCAGAAAGCAGCAACTCTCAGCCCATTCAAAGTGCTCCTAATTCTGGCAGAAGACCTGCCAGTGTTCTTACTACAGCCCCTTCAACTCCTGCACCTACTTTGCCATCTCGTAGAGGTAGTCTTGCAACTCCTAAACTAGGTACACCTAGTGGTAGCTCATTTAGACTTTCTAGCCGATCTGATGTCCACGTTGGGGGTACTCCAAGACCTTCAACTGCCCCTGATAGCGATCATGGGTTGGATGACACCAGAACGACTTCAACCACAGGTGTAGTTACCATGCCTGCATCAAAGTCGTATGATTCAGAACGGGATAGCGTTCGTCGTGGTGGTGGTGGTGGTGGTGGAAATATTGATACTTTTAGGATAGATCCTATCCCTCATGTGAGTAGGTCAAGCTCTACCAAGGAGAGCTTTCGTAGTTCAGACAGTAGTGGGCACGGCCTGACTTCGCAGTATGCAAGCAAGCCAAGCCTGCATCCGCACTTGGGTACTAAAGAAGAAGATGCAACTCTAAACTGGAATTCAGCCAGAAGTTACAGTTCCAGAAGTGCATCCTTTGGCGTTCCTTTGGACAACAGTTTGGGGCGTTCTCATTCTTTTTCAGGTTTGCATGCCTAAGTAGAAAGTATCGTTTGTAGCTTGGGCGTTTTAAATTGTGTTTTAAAGTTGCTGCGTCCTCTTGGCTGAAAACATAGCTTGTGGTTTATAGCAATGCTTTCAACATGCTATGTGTTCGTGAAAAGTTGATGTTTTACAATCTTTCATTTCCCCTGTTACATAAGAAAATATCTAAGCAATTACAAAATAACTTTAGTATGGCTTCGATTTAGCATAGTTCTGACCGATGTTTTGCATGCTTGTAGACGATTCAAGTCGTTCTCAGGGTATTAAGAATGCGATGGGAGCTGAGCCATCCACTACAGGTAGAGATCGGACCTCATGCCATGATTATTAGTGTCTACCTAGCATTTTGAGACTATGAATTATACATTTACATGATTTCCGCTCTCTATCTCTCTCTCTCTCTCTCTCTCTCTCTCTCTCTCTGTGTGTATATAAAGAGAAACTGAGAGAGAGCGAGAGAGAGAGAGAGAGAGAGAGAGGTTAAATTTTTGAAATTGCTTGGAAGTGGTTACATCAACAATCACAATTATGGGATATCTACTATTGTCAACCCGGACTCTCCGTATGCAGTCTTCTTGAGAGCTTGATTGCTGTGTCGCACGTTACTGGTAATGTAACATCGAAGTCTGTTCAGCTCGAAATTTGTAACTGACTGTTTGTTTTTGGCAGGACGTGTTGAAACTGGGACTACGAAAGCCCTTCTTGCCCAATGGGAAAGGAAAGAAAAGTCTAGGCTTCTAGAAAAATCAACACTTGTAGAAAAACCGGTGGTTGTTGAGAAGTCTCTGTCTCAACCAAGATCATACGTTGTGGAGAAATCTAGTTCCAATGAGGTGCAAAGCGGTGGTGGTGCTGTCAAAACACTTGGACTGGATATCAACTCATTTGTTCCAGTATGCTTCATATCAATTCTTAATTAATTAATTAATTAAAATTTCGTTTCGTTTTAATTTACTTTTTGTTTTGTTTTTGGAGTCCGTTTTTTAGTACACTGGACAATATTTTTTTGTTGAGGGAGCTTGTTTGATACGTAACGACCATTGTACTCTAATCAAATCTTTGTTAACGGTACTGGGAATGCAGAAAGGTAGTAGTTTCCAATCAGAATATACAAAATCAGCTAAACAGGACACCGAAATCATTGAAGAATTACTCCTTCAGCACCACACTATGGCTAGCATCATGCAGTCTCGCCTAACAAACATGCAGGTATATGTTTGTCTACTGTCTTTAGATAGTAGATGAGAACGTTGTATTCGTCTTCACTTCAATGCACGTTGTTGCTGCTGTCGATTTTAACATATTCTTCATGAAATCATTGGATCTCTTTGAGTTTGCTGCGATTGAGTTCTGAGGACGCTTCAATATTATGTGTAGGTTATTAGACGGTTCTGGAGTAAGAATGACATGAAAGGTGCCATAGAAGCAATGAAGAAAATGGCCGACCAATCTGTAAGTGCATCAATCCACATTACTTCTTTCGAAATTTCGTTGCTTGAATAATAATTCACTTGCAAGTTTTGCTGTATGCTATGACGCGATTTATAATTGGAACTTTTATTTTGTGGTGCAGGTATTAGTAGAGGTTCTCTCTGCGTTCATGGAAAAAGCGGATCTCTTGACCTTAGAAATCTGTTACATGTTGATTCCTCTGCTTAATGGTCTCCTCAGTTCTGACAATGACAGGTAATCTTTCATATGCTTTTCATGGAATATATTGACGTATTAAATATTTGGCTCATAGAAGAATTTATGTGCCTGAACATTGCATTTGTCTACAAGGCTCTGACTAAAATATTTTTATGTAGATTTCTGATGACCGCATTGGAATTATTGGGGAAGCTCGTGGCAACCTTCGGTCCTATTATACATGCAACACGTACTTCTGCATCATCAATAGGTGTTGACCTACAGGCAGAGCAACGGTATGTCGCTAAGTCTTGCTGTCAAGTTGTAAGTAGTTTGTACGACTGAACTATTTACAACTCTCTGACTACATGATTTCATGTTCCACCTTTTGTCAGTTTCCTATGATAATGCCATTGAAACCATTTCCAATGATGGCTGAAATAATTAACCATGTTCACTTTGTATTTTTGAAAACAGGCTTGACCGATGCAATATGTGCTATCATGAGTTACAAGCTGTAGGCCATAGCCTGCTGCCCCTGATGAGGTCAGTTCAAATACATATATACATATGTGTGTGTGCATGAAATAATTAAATTATATGATTTCCATTGTGTATAAACTTAAATGAATAAGTATATTTGTACATACGAACAATCTTATTAACCTCCGCTGCTTTTTTTGGGTTCTTTAGTTTATTTGAATTCTGCATCCGTCCACGATTTTCCTAAATACTCATGTTGGTAATCGCTGGCTGGCATATATGGAGTTATTATTCTTGCTTGTGCAGTTAGAACGTTCATTATTAGAGTTTTAGTTGTACCTATCAGCTGGTGTGTATTGAATTCTCTAGAACCAGTTTGTCAAGTTTATTTTGGAAGCAAATAAAAAATCTCTTCCATAAATCTTGTTGCTTTTCAGGAAAGGAGGGGATTTGACAAAAGCAGCCAAGAACTTACAAGAGGCTTTGGGAAGAGTTTGATTAGAACTGCAAGCAGATTCTGTTCCTTGTCCTTGTTTCTTTTTCACCTTGGCTGTTGTAGTTGTACACGGAAAGGTTTAGTGATACGAATCGTAGACTTTTATTTGTAGGTAACGAGTGGCAGTGTTTCCTCATTTTCTAGTTTCCTTGCACTAGTTGTATGGCTTAGTAGAATTAATTTGGTAGGAACCCTTCTTAGACCCAACTTGAGAGGATAATTGTTCTGGCAGAGGAACGGGCTTCATCTCTCGGAGTCTATTTTCATCATCAACCGCGTGAGAAGAGTGTTTTATACCCTCATAAACCATGAATTCTTTGACTTGACATAATTGAGAAGGTATCTTAAGAAAAAGTGAACATCGTACCTATCGCCACAATGGCGTAGGTATGTTAGTTCAACTAAGATTCTTTCAACTTTACTACGAATTGTTGTTTGTCAATTCGTAAATTGTTTTATATTTTTACAAGCAATGAATTTGGTGATGAAAGCCGTGCTTTTTATACCGTATCATGAATGCTTGATATTTTCTGCATCCTTCGTACCGAAACAATAGATGTTGGTTCTAATATGGACAAGCAAGAACTAGTTATTTCAGGAGCTAATTTCGTAAAAACCTTGAACAAATGTATCTAAGATAATTGTGATATTTTATTTGAGCTTACATAGTGTATATACATACATCACCCTTAATACATTTAGTATAAATGTTACAAATAAACTATAATATATACATGGGAGTCTTAAATAGACCCATGCTTTTACTAAATAGATCCACCCTTGATGAAGAATATTGTAATCATGATGAATAGAGTTGGTTTTTTTGGTTGCAGATCCAGTAATTGAGAACTAATCTAGAGGTCATTTTTTTCTTCTTCCATAATGGATAGGATGGATGGGTTGATGTAGTAAAAACTTAGGTCTACTCAGCATTCTCCTATGTATATATATATATATATATATATATTTCCACATATGCCTTATCAATTGTACTACATTGGATAAGATGCAAAAAAATAATGTTTAATTGATGTAGTACATATATAATTTGAACATGTGGAAATATTACAAAAATCAGATTTAAGTAAGAAAAACCAAATAAATTGTTCATCAAACAATATTCATCTTTAATATAAAATTCATCTTAGAAAAGAAGCTTTTAAAAATTTAAAGAATGATATATTAAACATTATAATCTCTTATACAATGTGTTGTTGAGTATAGTTGTATTTATTTGTATACATGTGAAAAATTCAAAACATAAATATATATAATAATCCATATACATAACAATTGCAAAGTCTTTGTGTAACTTAAAGTAAAATAATAATAATTTATTAACTAAAAATAAAATTATCCAAAAAAATTAAATAAGATTTTATTACTAATTCTTAATTCTAAATTATTGTATTGATGATGTTATTTTAAAAATATATACTTGCAAAGATAATAAACTTTTATATCATATTAAATTTTTCTAATAGATTTTACCAATAAGAAGAATATATATATATATATATATATATATATATATATATATATATTTATTATCTTTTATACAATTGTAGAGTTTTTAGTAATCTTCTTTTACTTAATTGTGATGTTGTATTTTTTTTTAAAAAATATAAAGTTTTTGGACAACTAATAGAATGTCATTGACATTGATTTAGTATTATTGAGAGATACAAAGTTTTAAAAAAATAAAAAAATAAAAAAATAAAACTAAAGGCTTTGTATATTGAATAAAAAATTTGAACAAAAAAATTATTATCTAAAGATTTTTATTTTAAAAGAAAATATTCCTTACAATTATTAATTTTTAAAAAAATAAATTTTAGTAAGTACAAGTCATTTGATTATATTTATTATATATATATATATATATATATATATATATATATATTATATGTTGCTTCTACTAATTGATTGATATAATAAAGTTTCAGATAATGGCAATGCCAAAAGTATGCCACTAGTAATATTAATATAAGTGTATTAAATATTTTTATTTAAAAGAAAAAAAAATGTTATATGGTTAATATAAGTGAACTTAAACAATGATTGTTGGACTTACAAAGTTGTAAATACCACAAAATTATAAATTTTAAATAATATTTTTGTATATATCTTATGTAGTTGTATATTTATATTTGATTTGGTAATTAGAGGGACTTTGACATTCAACTACTTTATCTTAGATCTTTTGTAGGTAGTTGATTGTTTATGTTTTCATTAAATTTTTTGTCCCTAGAGTTTACATTTCTAATGCAAAAGACAAAAGATTTTATTATTGTTGAGAACATTAAATGTAGCCGACACTCTCCATAACATTCATCATAGTTGCAATGAATACTATAGCTATAGTATTTATAATGTAATAAAGAGAAATTACTTATCTTCTCTTCCTTCTCTTCTTTATAAGTAAAAACAACAATATCAATATATAGTTTTGTTTAAAAGCTCTCTCTCTTTTTATATACTCACTTGTATATGTGTGTATGTATGTGTTTTGTATGTATGCACATTACTTCTAGCTACTCTTATGTCTTTCTTTAAAACATTCTTAACACATTATTAGCATGAACGCTTTTGAGTACTACTCTTGGTTCTTAAAAACTTCTATACACCTTGCCCTTTATCTTCCCCTCATTTTTTTTTTTCCTACATTGCATTGCCCTGCCTATTTGCTGCTTTCTTAATGTTGCTTGTTGCTTGCTCTTACCTACCTTCACTATCTGCCATCACTGTCACTATTGCCATCATTATCACCATTGCCATCGCCATTGCCATTGCTATCTACCGTCCGCCTTTTACTATTTGCTGCTGCTATCACAATTCATTGCAGATCCTTGTTTTTGTGAAGAAGAAAAAAAAAAAAGAAAAAAAAAGAAGAAGATTTCGAGTTCAATTTTATCATTTTATTTGACTTTACATTTTAAGATACATTTTACTCACCTTTTCTACTTGATCTTGTATTTTCTTCAAATATTTATTTATAATGAGTGCTTCAACATCTTCAACTACCTCTATTATATTTCTAACTATCACCACTGCATCCCAACATTTTTAAGCTCTTTTATTTCCACCATTGGTTGCTGATAGAAAGAATTATTTATTATGGACAAAAATGGCAAAAGTAAATTTATTTGCAGAATAACTCTCGAATACAATTTTGTTTAAAGAATCTCATATTGTAAGTAATTCTATTCTTCTTGCTATTACTTAGAAAGTACTTCTTTTCCTTCATCGTCATCTCATACTTGCATTGTAACATCAATATTTGTAAATAGAAGATCTTTCCAAGCTTTGGAAGAATCTTAAATCTAGGTTTGATCATCAAAAGACCATTTTCTTTCAAAGTGTCAGTATTGGATACATTTACGTATCTTAGATTTTCAAAATTTAAGTGCTTTCAACAGTGAAATACATTGTATTGTCTCACAACTATGGTTTTATAAATAAAGCATCTTTGAAGAAGAAATGATTGAAAAAACTCTCTCTACATTTTTTCTCTCATTTGTTGTGCTTGTACAATAATATAAGAATATAAAATTTCAAAGTCATCTTAGTCTCATGTCCTATCTATTTCTTGAGGAGAAAAAAAATGGCCTTCTTTAGCATAATATAGAAGCTCATCCTATTAAAACCATGGTTCTAGAATCTCATGCATTTAATATTTCAAAGTCTAAGAAAAAATTATACAAACATGGAAAAGGTGCTTATAAGCACCAAGGCAATTATGGTCGTGACTATTTCTATCCATATGGAAAAAATAAATATTTTCTTATTAATTACAATAGAAAGTAAAAATCAAAGATGTGTTCTTGCTATAAATGTGGCATAATTGGACATTTAGCACATGTGTGCCAAACTTCAAAATATTTTGTTAAAATATTTCAAAGAAATAAGAAACTTTGAGCTCAAGCTTGTGAAGTTCATGCCATGGATGCGTCTATAGACTCAATTGGTATTGATGATTTAGAAGCTTACATGAATGACAAAACCTCTAATGATGAGTAAAATGATGTGTTTATTGATTCTGGAACAACATATATTATTATGCAGGATAAACAATTTTTTATTAAAAGTTCTTCAACTTGGCATATTAAAAATTTGATGACCATGGCTAGAACAAATGTATTTTGTTTCTAGCAAGGAATAACGATGGTAAAATTGCTTGAGGATTCTATCATAAAATGTAAACATGCAATGTTAGCATCTTTAGTACCTCAAAGTTTGATCAACTATCGAGATGTGCATGCCAATAATTATCATCTTTCAACCACCATTCTAAATAGGCAAGAGATTTTGGTTCTTGTACAGAATTATAAAATTGTTGAAAAAATATTTGCTACAACAAATGATTTATACTGGATTCCAATCTAGTCTTTCATTATATTTAATTTTGTATCATCTATTATAGAGAGTTATGTTTCTCTCTAGCATGGACAATTGGGACATCCAGGATCCACATTATTTTGGAAGATAAATCTATGTATAATTAGGCATAATTTAAAATCTGCAAATACAGATTCAATGGAATTATGTTATGTATGTGTACAAAGCAAGATGATTAATTGACCTTTAATTTGATAACTTCCACAAGAATTACCACCAATACTTGAAAGATTGCATGGTAATATTTGTGATCCTATTAATCCAATATTTAGACCATTTTGTTGTTTTTTGGTCCTTCTTGATGTATTAGACAAATAATCACATGTTTCATTATTATCAATTTGAAATATGATATTTTCCAATTTAATATCGATGCTTATCTTTTTTTAGATACATTTTCTTGATTATCCTATTAAAACATCGTATATAGACAACACAAAAGAATTTGCATCAAAATCTTTTGAAGACTATTGTATTGCAATAGGGATTGAGTTGACATATTGTATTTTATATGAACATGCTCAAAATAGACTTATAAAGTCATTTATAAAGTATATACAATTCATTACATGGCCACTCCTTCTTTAGGCAAATTTACTTACATCTATGTGGAATCATACAGTTTTACATGCTACAACATTAATATGCCTTTGTTCCACTTTTTCTGAAATTATTACATGATAAGAGCTTATTTTAGGTTGTATTTTCAATGTATTTCATCTACAAATATTTGGTTGTTATGCTTGGATTCCAAAACCAGAATCTCAACAATGTACTATTGGATATCATTAATAAGAAGGCATATACATTGGTTTTGATTCACCAAACATTATTCATATTATTGATCCATCAACTAGCATATTATTACATATACATTTTCAAAATTGTCGTTTTGAAGAGAGTGTATTTCCATCTCTTTGAGGAGGAGTATCTAATCAACAAAAAAAATACAATACTTGTATTTGGAGTATGAGAGACATTTACAATGAATTTTAATCCTAAAATATTTTTAGTTGAAACTAAAGTTGTCAAGATTTTGTATCTAAAATGGATTGCAGATGAAACATTTGATGATTTTAATGATGTACCTTGGATCATAAGAGTT